TTTGTATATGGTTTTGGTCAATCTGGCTATAATATGTCTTGGAGAAGATCTTCTAGGGTTGATTCTATTTGGGGTCCTCTATATTTCTTGGGATTGGATCTTTGAGTGCCTCTCTAAGTTTGGAAAGTTTTCTTGCAGGATTTCATGGAATAGTTTATCATTGCCCTTATGAGTCTCTTTGCCTTCGGGGATACCAATTATCTGGATGTTTGGATGTGGATGGTTTCTAGTATTTCTCATATATTATTCTCATTTTATGGGGCCATTTTCCATTGAACTGTCTGTGGATGAAGAGGAGTTATTATTTTCCCTAGGAAGAGAGGTATTTTCTTGCTTTCTCATATTTCTTGTGGTCCTGTGGTGATTTCTAGTCATCTGATGGATGGTGTGTTTCTTCCTAATTCTTTTTTGGTTCCCATTTGCATGGAAAACCTTTTTCCAACCCTTCACTTTCAGTCTATGTATGTCTTTCTCCATGAGATGGGTTTCCTGTAGGCAACAGATAGAGGGTTTCTGTTGTTTTATCCATTCGACCAGTCTGTGTCTCTTGGTTGGAGAGTTTAATCCATTAATGTTCAATGTTATTATCAATGTCACAGGATCTGTAACCAATGTTTAAGTTGGCTGTTGTCTTAGTTGACTTTTATTTCTTTGTTTCTGGCTGTTAGTTCTTTAGTTTTCCTGGAACAGTACTTTTTTTCAGGGTTTCTTGAAGAGCTGGTCTGGTGTGTTTTTTCCTAATTCTTGAAGTTCTATCTGAACGTTCAGGAGCATGCAGAAAGAGGTGATCTGGATTCTCTTTGCTGTTCTGTTGTGATCCCTTTGTGCAGCAGATTCAGTACATATTGAGGAATATGTTAACCATAGTAGTGTTTGGATGTTTGGCTATAATTCCCTTAGATTCATCTAGAAACACAGTAAATGAAGATTGAGGAGGGTAGAGACAAGAATAGAAAAAAAGAAAAGGAAACAAAGAGAGAGGCAAAAACAACAAAAACAATAACAAATAAACAGAGGGAAAAAAGGAAAAAAATTAAAAAACAACTAAAAATTATTATTATTATTATTATTTAAAAAGCACAAAATAGAAAACTGTGTGGTGCATGATTGCACCACGTGAAATCACTAGTTCTCAGGAGTCATAAGGAATCTTCTTCTGAAAGTCCGCCTCTCACCTCTCCTGCTTCGGTGGGAGGGGGAGAGGGGATTATTAACAAGATAAGGCAGGGCTGAAAGCAAGAGAATACTTTACCTTAAACAATTTTACAAAGGAAAAATTATAAAAAAATGAAAAGAGAGAAGCAGAGAGAGAGAAAGAGACACAGAGACAGAGATAGAGATATAGAGAAAGCTAGAGTAGTTCCCTACCACTCAAGCTTGTGGGCTGGAGGCTGAATTATCAGTAGGAAATCTTCATTTCTCTTTTTTCCCTGAAATCACTAGTTCTCCAATTGTCTCAAAATTTTAAATTAGAATTTGTATTGGGATAGCATTGAAATTATAGATCAATCTGGGGAAATTTAATATCATTATAATATTAAATTATTTCATCCAAAAGCATGTAGTACCTCTTAATTTATTTAACTCTTTTGTTATCCTTTTTTATAGTTTTAAAAAATACCTTCTACATGAGCCTTATTTATTCTCCAGTCAGATAATTTCTAAGGACTTCATAATATTTCTCACAATTAATGGTAACATATTTATAAAATTATACTTTATTATTTCTGGCATAGAAAAACCTCTTGATTTTTGTATGTTGTTGTATCAAGAACAATTACCTTGGTGAAGTCTTTTTTTTTTTTTTTTTTAAGGTTTTTGCCATAGGGCACGTGCACTCTCCAGAAAGACAGAGAGAGACAAAGAGACAGAAAATGAGAAATCACCCCCCAGGGGGATGGCCATGCTGCAATCCCTTCTTCTCCATTCTCCTTTTGGGATCTTGGTCACACATGCACATGTGCCTGGTGCAAGTTTAAGCCACATGGGAGTCCAGAAACATAGCCATTACACCAACTACTGGTCCTAAGACTGCTCCTCCCCATTGGGGAATCGAACCCTGATCTCCTGATTTACAGATGGGGATACTCACCACTGTACTAACAAGGACGACTGGTGAAGTCTTAATAGTACTATTAACTTGATAATTCTGTGTTTTTTTTCCCCCTAGGTTAAAGATTCTGTCATTTCCAAATGATGATAGATTTCTTTCCTCTTCCCTTCAAATTCTTATACCTCTTTATTTCCCTTTCTTTTCTTATTACATTATATCAATACATTAACATTATCTTAATACATTACCATTTCTAATATATTAAAGAGTAGTAGTTATAGTAGATATTATAATCTTATTCCTGCTTTCAAATGTGTCTAAATTTTCTCCATCAAAGATAATGTTTGCTGTAAATTTTTCTACATTTCTTTTTTTGTGATAGGGAGTATGCACTATCCAGAGAGAGACAAAGAGACAGAGACAGAAAATGAGAAATCAACTCCCATGGTTGATGGTCATGCTATAATCCCTTCTCCTCTTGGGATTTTGGGCATGCGCACACACATGGCTGGTGTGAGTTCCAGGTTGCAGGGTCTGAGACTCAAATTGCATTGGCCACATGGGGGTCCAGTGCCTTAAACAATACATCACCTGCTGGTTCCAGATTTCTTATCATCTTTTATAAAAATCATTGTTTTATTTATTTCTAATTTCCCAACTTTATTTTAAAAAGTTGTAATTACATATTGAATTTGATCAATGTTCTTTTTTTTTCTTTTTTTTAAGAGAGAGATTTTTGGTATAGGGCATATGTGCTTGCCAGAGAGAGAGAGAGAGAGAGAGAGAGAGAGAGACAGAAAGTGAGAAATCACCCCCCAGGGGGGAAGGAATTTGCTTATTTTTATGTTTTCCCCATTTAAAAAAATCAGTTTTCTCAGAAAATTGATCTGTCTTGTTAATCTGTATAAAATGCATAAGTTTTGATTTTCTCCATCTTTATCACTTTTGCTTGCTATTTCACCAAATTCTACTGTTTATTATGTAATTTTTTCCTCTGGGTATGTCTGGTTCTTTTTACTCCCATTTAGAAATGAAATTCTTAAGTCATTTGGTTCATTCTACTTGTCTCTTAATATGTATATTTAAAGTGATGAATTTTTCTTGAAGTATTATTCTAGCACATGTATCTTTAATTTCAGAACTTTCTAACTGCTTATTTTTATGTCTGTTTGATTCGTTTTGAAGATATATTAAAATCACCGGCTTCAATATATGAATTACATATTTCATCCCACCTTCAGTTAGTTATTTTTCTAATTTTTTTCCTTTTTTAAATTTCATTTTTTATACATTCAATCACATTATTTAGTTTACAAAGTGAATATTTCAATATCTGAACATTTCTCCCTAGTCCAGTTGATTAAAATATCTTCAACAGATAATACCACATTTCTTTGTCCCATTAATGCTTTGCCTCTGTATTTTTCTTCTAAATGTCATTCCTCAGGCCCTACTCTTCCACACACACAATATCTGGTATTTACAACCATATATTGTCTTTGTATATCCATTAGTCAATCAGTTTCAGTAATAGAGTGCAGAAACTCGGTGTATATTAAGTGGGGACATACAATGTCTCTCCTTCATAGCCTGGCTTGTTTCACTCGGCAGTTTTGAGACCTTGTTAGGTGTACATATGTTGATGATTATAACTTCTTGTGTTATTATTTCTTGTGCCAGCATGCAATGCTTGTGTTTGTACTTTATGATAATGTTTACTCTAAATTATAATTTGAGCATCCCAACTGGGCTAGGGACTCAAACCATGCTTGTCATGTGGCTTCCAGCTTTGCAGTACAGTATGCTACTGATGCGCTACAGAAGCTTGGCCAACAATTCTTTTAGATACACACTATTGTTATTCTTGCCTTATAGAGAGGATATATATTTCAAAATGTGATACTTTCTATAAGATCACAGATAGTAATTGGTGGATTTGGGGATGGAATTTGACATTGTGGCAGGGCACCTATTCTATAACAATATTTGATCAAACGTGATCAGATAAACATATTAAACGACATCTCTGTCAGTAATGTAAGGGCTAGGACAGTTAAAAAATAATAAACCAGATTACACAAATACCAGCGTGTATATAAAGGAGAACACAGACTTGGGAATCAGAGGCAACAGAGTTGAATCTATAGAATTGTTCACTGAGTGAATAAAATTTGCATCATTGAGTGACTGTGGTGCTATTTATAGAAATACTAACTATAAAAGCAGAGGTAGGTTTAGAGGAACAACAAAGGGCTTCGGTTTGCTCATGTTGGGTCAGAGGTTTCTATGAGACAGTGAAGTGGGGATCCCCGTTAGCAGTTGGAAATGTGTTTGAAGCTAAATGGAGGTAACTTTGGCAGCAATCCATATATATAGGCTATTGCTGAAGGGATGGGACAGAATGAGATTGTCCTAAGAGATTGTTTACAAGAGGAGTGGAATGAAGAGAAGAGAGAAAGCTAGATGGTAAAAGGAAAGTAGGCCTGGGAGTAGAGTGGAGTGAGGGATGCACTTTCCTTAGGTGGAAAATTTAGAAGGGTACCAAAACAAGTGCAATCAAGATAAATTAGTGATCAAAACCAAGAACATTTTGATAAATTTGTAAAAAAAATCAAAATAAAAATTAAAAAAATTTGTACCTGTGGATAAGGTATAAAGTGGGTGGGGAAGGTGGGTCTGGTTAGACTCCTGAACCCAGGGTGATAGTAACTGGAACCAGCAGATAGTGTAAGGTCACATTGCTGGACTCCCACAGCCCCACTGTGGTTCGAGTCCCAGACCAAAAATTCATGCCAGGTCTGTGTGTGTGTGTGCCCAAAATTCTGAAAGGAGAACGGAAGAGAAGGGATCATGGCCTGGCCAACCCTCCTGGGGGGAGATTTCTCACTTTCAGTCTCTCTGTCTCTTTCTATCTCCCCAGAGAGCACCCCATAGCAAAAATTCCTCCAAAAACTAAAAAAATAAAAATTAATGCTAAAATGCATGATTAACAAAATATCAAAAGAAAAAGTTTTAAAGAAGATGGGGAAAAAGCAGAGAAGCAGAAGAGTTAGAAGAATATGTTATCAGATAAATCAAGGAAGTGAAGAATTTCTGGAAGGGCCCAGATTTGGTGACATAGTCAGTGATGGACTGAACTGCAGTGCTAGAAGCCATATGGCCAGCTACAGGTTTGGATCCCTGAGTCAACCTGAAAACACACCAGGTGTATGTGCCCAAGATCTTGATGAGCTTGAGGCTGTGGGAAGGGGATCAGGCTTATCAGGACCTTGTTAAAGGTGCCTGTCTCTCTCTCTCTTTCTCTTACATGCATGCATAAATGCTTTGGCTCTTGAACAAAAGTAAACAAAAATTTTTCAGGAAGGAGGAAATACTGAGTAGTGTCAGATGTTCAACTGAGGTCATACAAGAAAACATACATTGGTTTTGGAATCTTTTCAAAGAACATCATATACAATATGAGCAACTCTCCTACCTTTAAAGTCCTCATTTCAGAATCAGGTTTATTCTCTGACCTCAATAATGTGGCCCTTCCCATTCTGAGAGTATTTTTGAAACTTGAAGTCTGTGGCATGCCCCCAAAGTCACCTGGGATTTGAGATGAAATTCAGTCACTTTGGGGTACTCATTTACTCTTAAGTGCTGCTTATTTGGAAGAGCAGGGCTCATGCAGGGATGGCCTTTTTACCCTAGGACCTGAGCAGGCAGAGAAATGGGGATTGTGGTGGATCAGGTAGAAAGCAGGTGGGGAAGGTGGGTCTGGGTTAAGCTCCTGAACCCAGGGGTGACAGTAACTGTGTGTGTCTTGCTGTAGGTAACAACATTGCTGAAAAGAAGAGGACTTGGGAGAGATCTGAATTCCTCACAAACTCCAGTCTCAGACTCCCTTCTCAATTCTTGTGCTAACTCAGTGACAGTTCACTTTTGACCTTTCAACTCCTGTTCTTATTTTTGACCATAAGACATTTAGTGCTTAGTAAAATTCCTGGCAAATAGAAAATAATAAATTAATATTTGCATTCTCATAGCACTGGTATGGCGATTATCCCTTCACTGGACTGCTCATATTCTGGTCTCCTTTGAAGAGCCCCCCCATTACTATCCCCTTCCTGAGAATACCCTGATACCAATATTTCAAAGCTGGGAAATTCTGAGTTTTTTCTTGCTTGAAGTCTAGAACTGGGTCATATATGACTAATATTTTATGAAGGTCTGGTTTCAAGCTGGGTTGTGGGTATATTTACTAAAGATTCTGACCCCATCTGAATGGAAAGGTCTGAGAATATTGATCTGGTTCTGAGTTCTCCCTGAAATACTGGATAGGGTGGGGTGGGAAGAGAATATTGGGGGAAATTTTACTTCGATGAAGCTTTGGTTGTACATGGTGTAAGAATGTGGTGATTCAGAGGAAGGAAGAGTTCATCTGTCTGGATCAAGATTTCAGGCAAGGAACCAGCAGGTGGCAGGGTGGTTAATGTGCTGGACTCATATGGCCGACCACAGTTAGAGTCCTGGAATGGAGGCTTGGAAATCATGCAGGGTGCATGTGAGTTTGTGCCCAAAATACCAGGAGGAGAATGGAGGAGATGGAATGGTGGCATAGCATCCCCCTTGGAGGGGTTTGATTTCTCTCTTTCCCCCTCATTGTCTCTCTCTCCCAGTGAGGCAAACACCTGGGGGAAAAAAGTTTTCAAGCAATTCTGGAGCCCACCCCCAACTCTTGAGCTTCCTTTTCAAGACTTGTTCATAACCACAGTGTGTTCAAAGGGAATCTGAGACTAAAAAGTGAAGCAGGAATTCCATAGAGGATGTAACGAAAGTGTAATATCAGAGGGTAATTTACAGAACAGGAGAAGGATCAGCAAAGATGGATCCTCACACACATGCGTGGCTGTGGCCTCTGCCCCCTCCTGCAGTAAGCTAACAAAGATGGAAGAGAAGAGAGACAATGAACTGCAGAAGAGAAAGAAGAAAGGAGCTGATGAGTTCCAGGAGTTGAGAAAATTCTTGCAAGATCTAAAAGAGAAATTACACACTTTAAAAAAGAATCAAATGGGCCTGTTAAGAGATGAAGACTATAATACAGGAAGTCAAAACCTCCCTTGAGAGTATTCAAAGCAGACTAGATCATACTGAAAATCGAATCACAGATGTAGAAGATAGAATCACTGGCCTAGAAAAATCCACCATAAAGACTCAGAAAATTGTCCCAAAACATAAGAATACTATACGAGAAATACCATCAAATGTCCAAAGATATGGATAATTGGTATCCCAGAAGAGGAAGAGACCCATAAGGGCATTGACAATCTATTCCATGAAATCCTGGAAGAAAACTTTCCAAACCCAGAGAAGCATTCAAAGATCCAGTCCCAAGAAATACAAAGGACCCCCAATAGAATAAACCCAAGAAGATCTCCAAGACACATTATAGCCAAATTGAGCAAAACCACAAAGACAAGATATTAAGATTGGCAAGAGAGAAATGGAAGTTACCTACAAAGGATATACCATCAGGTTGACAGTGGACCTCTCATCAGAAACAATGCGAGTGAGGAAAGAATGGGAAAATATATTCAAAGTGTTAAGGGAAAAGCAATTGCAACCACAGATACTATGCTGGGCAAGACTGTCCTTCATATGGGAAGAAAAGACAAGAACATTTTCAGATAAACAAAACCTGAAAGAATTTACCAACACCAGACCAGATCTCCAAGAAATTCTGCAGGGAGTGCTATATCAGGAAAATTAAATGCAGTCACACAGAAATAAGTCTTCAAAAACTAAGAAAATGGCCATCTTAATCATGGGAACAAGTCTGGAGTTGAATATTATATCCCAGAATTTAATTGGGAAAATTGAATCACAACAAAAGATAAAGTACATGACACTGAACTGGTGAAATAGAATTTTATGACTTTTGATTAGAACATTGTTGTTTTTTTTTCTAGGCTTTGTTTTCTGATTTTAAGGATTTTTGTCTTTTGAGCTGTCGATAGGTTCATGTACCCACTATTTGAACAGAATCCCAACCTATTTCCTGGCTTTAAGTTTTAAGCATATTTCTTTGATTTATTAAAGCTAAAACTGCTTTTCCTGAAATTGAAAATATTTTAAAAAGT